ATTACTATAAAATACCTAAAAAATATTTTACATTAAGCTTATATTAAAGATGATAAAGATAGTAGTGATTATCTAAAATTAATAGTACTAATAGAATCAAAATTAATATATAGTATATATTAATAATTATTTACTAAATTAAACTTATTTAATAAATAATTTTTTTAAGTTTTTTATAAGATTTAATAAATCTTTTAAACTATTTTTAATTCTACTAAACTTTTATTTAATTTAAATACTCTATTCTTATTTTTATAATTATAAATGAATTTATTCTTAAAAATAATGAAAACTAAAAATTATATATTTAATTTAATTCATAAATTTATACTAGTTAATAAAATTAAATTTATAAATAATAAATTATTAAATTTTATTGCTTATAACTTTAACTATTAAAAATAGTTTTACATTATCACTGGGTTTATTTTCATTTATCTTAATATCTAGTTGAGTGACTGCAGTAGTTGATTCTACACGTTGAAGTTTCTGATCTTAGGATTTTCTCTAAGTCCTACAGGTATCCGTTATACTTGAATCAACTTAGCAATTTATTACGTCAGAATTTAAGATATTTAATTGAACTCATAATGATGAACTCAATAGCAAGTGAGTGTAAGATATCACAATAATCATAGGTGAAGGACAATATTAAAGGAAAAAGTAGTTTGTATGGATTTAAATTGATTCCTTTATTTATAACTTGAAACTCGTATGAAACTTACTAATGAGTTAATTTACAACTTAAGCAAAAAGTTATTCTATTTATACAAAATTAATTTGCTATAGCTAACTACTTGCTACGTTATAAATTAACTAAATATAGATATATATATTTCAATAAAAATATACTTAAATATAATAAAATAATAAAAATAATATAAACTATAAAAATAATAAAAGGAAATAAAATAAGTTACAGACGTTAAAGAAATTACAAGAAAAATAGAATAACAGACTGTATAGAAAATATAGAAGAAACAGGCAAATCAGATGAATTTTGTAAATCCTTCAAATTAAATAATTAGCCTGATTTTCTAATGCAATACATTGATCAAGATCTTCTTTAATATGATCTACATAAAATTAAATCTAATGACTTTATAAATCATTTTTCTAGAACAAATTTTCAATACTGACAATATATAAAGATGGATATCATAATTAAAAAAAATAGTATAATTGAATTACTACTTATAACACAATTAAAATATACTTATAACATAATTAAGTTATAATTCAATTAAAATTTAAAGTAATTATAGAAATTATCTTTATATATAATTTAATAAAAATTTATTTATTATAATTAAGATACTAATATAAATGAATTTATTATACTAATTAATTATAAGAAAAAAGATTTATCACTCACCAGACAAATCCAGTTACACTAATTTACTAATTGTTAAAATTTTGTGTAATATTAATCTTTAAAACTTCATTCAATGATAACTTATTTAAACATAAGAATACATCATAATTTTATTATAGAAAATCAATTTCTGACTTTTATTTTAAGTATTAAATTCTTTTTTTTTTTTTAAACATTGATTAATTAAAAATCTAAATTCAAAATATTCAAATTTTTTTCATTATTTTGGTCTTTTTTCTCAAGATCCTTTTTTAATTTCAAGTTGTTAAATGTTAATAGTAGCTAAAATATATGTAAAAAGATATGCTAGTAACGTTTACTTTATTTTATAAAGTTAGTTTACACACTTAATTTTTTTTATATAAGTAAAAACATTTTTTTTGTAGTAGAAATACACTTTCTCAATATTACAAATCGATTTTATTACCTTTTAATTGGTTTAGAAAAAAGGTATTACATATTTACTTTTCTTTTTATATCTAATATTATTATTCCAATACCTTTTAATATGCTGAATATTCCATTCTTGTGACAGTTTACTTAAAACTTCATTAATTTTGACTTTTGTGAATACTATTTCCTTTTGTAATAAGCAACTTAAGATTTGTTTTTCTTCTTTAGTTGTTATAGTTTTTTGGCATTTTAATTAAGACTCATTTTCAACATTTTCTTGGTTATCTAATTCAGTACTTTTTTTTTTAAATTATCTTTAACTGACTGAAGATCTTGTTCATTAGATTGAATAAGTAATATATCAGATGATTGATTCTCATTATTTTTTTGGTATAGTATTCTTTTTTGATTTTTTGTTTTTTGACAAATCTGAAATTTTAGTTTTCATTACTGACAATATCCTCCTCCCTTTAGTATTAATTGCTTCAGTTTTTATTACTTCTTGCTGATAAATTTTCTTGATCTTCTTCAATCTATTTATATATGCTTGGTTTATTCTTATTAGTTCTTATTGGTTCAATTGGATGGAGAGTTTTTTTTGAAAAGGTCATGGTTAATAGGATTATCCATTTTAAATGCTTCTAATAAATCATGCACTAATTTTCATAATAGTTCAATATGATTATTTATGTTACAATCCTTTCATTGATATATGTAAGTATCTAGAATTTCATTTAATAATGTATCTATTCAATTCTTTCTTCTTGAATTGCTTTAATTTGTAACTCTAAGTTTTCTTGATCACACGAATTTCTAGTAATATTCTGCTTAATATAAGCAACGCCATGAGTTTCTAATACTTCATTAAAAGTAGGATAATATCTTTTTCTTGTTAAATTTATAGAAGCACAAAGACAAAGTTTTTTTTTAGTAGTGAATATTTTTTTAAATTTATAAGAAAATGTGTAACAGAAGTGGCGTTATTACTTTTTCTATGGCAGGAAAAAATAGAGCAAAAGCTGCTAATCCAAATTTTTATAATTTATAATTTTCACAATATATTCTGATAAGATGAGTTTTTTATATTGTAAACCATTCATAATATAAGTACCATATTCTTAAGCATATTCTCTCATTTGCAGGATAAGATAATATCTTTTTAATTTTAACCTTGCTTTTTTATAAGTATATATTGATGGCTGCTCTAACCGCAACCCAGATTAGTCCTAAAACTCTTCTTATAGATCAGTAGTCAATAGCAGCTGCGAGTTTATCTAAAAATTTTACACCTAAAGTTGTAGTCAAATCGTATATTTTATAACTTGAGAATAATGTAATCAAGGTACTCATCATGGCCTTCGAGGTGTGCTACTGACTAAGGATAGGCTGTATATTTTTTAATTTATTATAACATTTAATTAATTGTCTAAATATTGCCTTGTCTGCACAAATATCTAAAAAATTATTTTCATCTAAGGAAAAATCTTTTCTATACATTTCTGTAGCATATAAAATTTCATTATCATTATTTAAAGATTCGCTTGATTTCAATATAACTACATTTAAAGGTAGAAGATTACAACCAAACTCTGTTTGCCTTAATATTTCTGAATTTATTGCTGTAAGATTAATTTTATTATATTCTAATACTTATCTTTTATCGTATTAAAATGCCAATAAACTTACAATAATTTCATTTATTTTGAAAATAATATCATGCATTTCTTTTGATGTTCTAAAGATTTGTGTATTGATATTTAGCTCTCATGTTGGTTCTAGTTTTTCACTAATAATTTCTGGTAATAAAACTGAAATACTATTCTTAATATAGCATGTGATATATCTCGAGTTACATCATATATTTTCAAATTAGAAGCTTCTTTTTTTAAAATTGATATTATTAATTACAGTTAAATTAAAGACATTATTTTCAGTTAATAACCATTTAAAAGGGTCTGCACTTTTATCTGTGTTTTTTTCAATCTTTATTCATGTCTATTTGTATGATTAATAATAGAACATTGGTTAAGAGATCATGCAATGAAAATAATAATTTTAGTCATTGACATAACGAAGCTAATATATTTAATAGTTATAAATTTAAGTATAAAAATGTAAAATTAATTAGAGCTAAGATTAATAAAGAAAGAAGATGGTTAATTTTTTGTGAATCTAGTTTCTTTAATGATTTATTTTTTAGAAGTCATTTTCGATTGAATTCTGTGATCTTTTTTTCTAATATTATTGTAAGCATAGACTCAAAAAAATATACTAAACATCTGGGAAATACACTGATATAATTATTAAGGCTTTCTGAAGTTTGTAATTTATTTATATCTTTTTTAAAATATTTGTATGATTGCCATAATTTTTTTCACATTTCTCAGCTGATTTCTTTATATTTTTTCTCATCTAACTTCTCTTCTTGAAATTTAATAGGATTTGATTTAATTTCATTGCTGTTCTTAATATAAAATAAATTGAAGTACTGTGATTAGAATAAAGAGGTTTATCAGATGTATTAGATATGTCTGGCTGTGATGCCATTAAAGATTTATTTTTTGAATTAAAAAATAGACTAATTTGTGACAAAATTGCTATAAGAATATTTTTTTGATATTCAAAATTTTATTATTTGCAATATGTAGAAATCAATTAGCTAACATTTTTAATTTTTTTTTTATATTCTCATAATCTCCCTTTTTTTTACATGATAATGTTTCTCGATCTCTTTCTAATCTAATGTAAAAATGTTTTTTCTCGTATTTATAATAATTACAATATATATATCAAGGATTTTTAATTTTATCAAAAGCATGTTTACATAAAGAATTGAATAGTTCTAACGCATTACAATTAAATTAACTATTACAGACTACTTAAATATTCCTTTTAATTATCTTTCACAAATGTTTCTCACATCCTGTGCTTTGTGTAAAAAAATAATAAAGTTTTCACAAAATAAACACCTTCTTCGTTGAAGTATATTTTGACTCATGTCTTTTAATTGTTTAAAGCTGGATCATGAAGAATTTTTTGATCATTATTAAAATAATAACTACAAATATCTAGCCGCTTTAACACACTATTTACTTCGATAATACTTTCTCTATCTATTTGATATATACTATAAAATTGCCATAATGTTCGAAAACTTTTTGAATTTTTATATCTTTTAATATACCTATCGATCTTATCAACAATAATACTGTATTAAATTTTTAGATGCTTTTTATTCAATAATTATATTATCATTTTCTGAATCTATTTCTAAAATTGAATCATTATTATCAGATATACTACTATCTATTTCACTTGTATCTTCTATATCAATAACTTTTTTTAAATATTCTTCATCCAAAGAAATAGTAACTTGTTCAATTTCAGTTTCAAAATTATCATATATGGCTTCAGTAACTGTATTTTCATTATCAAAAAGATAATATTCTTCACTTCCTTTTAGTAAAATGCTTGATATTCCTAAAAGTGAAGCTTTTAGAACATTTTTGTATGTTTCGTTTAAAGACATTTCAGAATTTAAAATTTTATACGTAAGTTTTATGAATAACTTTATAACTGAGATCCTTTTAAACTAAACATGAAAAATGCATTCTAACAATATACCTATTTTTAAAAATATTCTTTTTTAATTCGTAACTAGGTCACATTTTTAATTAGCCACTCAATAATTTTTTATTGTATATGAAACTTTAGCTATTTGATGATTTTCATATAAAATCGATAATGTAATATGTTGATCATTACTAATTAAAAATTTTGATCATCATATGACCAAATTTATCCAATGATTGATAATATATATAAATTTGTATATATAAATTATATATATAATATACTAATTTATATATTTTATATATTTGTAATTTTATCTTTTTCCTTAATTATATATATAATAATTATATTTATTTTATACTTTATTTATAAATATTAAAAATGTATTATTTCTATATATATTTCTATATACAAATTTCTTATAAAATCAGATTTAAAAATAGATTTTTAGTGTTTTTTTTTTTGTTTCTATTTTATTAATTTTATTTCATATTTTTTTTATTTTATTTGTTCTTGTCTTATTAGCTATGCTGAAATCTAAAAAAAATTTTAAAATATCTGTTACTAAAATCTTATTATTTTTTATATTTACTAATAATATATTTTTATAAAAATAGAAATAGTTTTATTATTTTATTTTTATTAACTGTCAAATTATTTATCTAATTTCTTTTTGGGATAATTTAAATTCTTTATATTCAGAACTTATTTTTTAAAAAAAATTAATAGCCAATATACTGTATATATATATATATATATATTTCTTTTTAGAAACAGTTTAGACTCTCCACTCTAAATATATAGTAAGACTATTATTTAATTAAAAAAAAGACTGTTGATTAGAATTTTGTAATGCAATCATATTAACATAATTTCTGTAAAAGCACACATAGGTAAATGTTTTTTTATTAACATATTTTTTTTCTTTTTGTTTTTTAGAATGGTTCAAATTCTTGATGTATGTAATAATGAAATGGAAATTAATAATGATAGAAATAGAATCAAATAATTAAAGTAGATAGAATTAGAAAATCATGAAAATCAATTTGAAAATCAAGATGATGAAATTTTTTATCAGAAGAATGGAATAATGATTTTAATTTAGGAGGTCATGAAATACATCCTGCTGATGATGAAATAGCCAAACGGATCTTAAGTTCTTTAATTGAATCTTCTTTAGAATATCCTTCATTTTTAAATTCGAATGAAATATTTGCTAATGTATAAAATTATAAATATATTATAAATAAAAATTTAAATTTTAACAATGCATAATTAATTTTAAAGTTTTATAAATATACAGTTTAATTTTGGATTTAATGATTTATAAAGTCCTATAGGTTATATAAGGTCATAATCCAACACTCGGAATATTATGTCACGTGAGTCGATTTTTATAGATATTTCTCTTAAGGTATTAAGAATTTTATAAATTATTATCATTTAATAATAGCATGATAAGGTTGAGAAACATAGTATTGCTTTTAATATGATCCTTATTCCTTTTAAAATCACGTATGTTTGTAACTGTTCTTTCTTGATTTCACAAAGTAGATACATACTTGTTTCTAAAATCATTATTTGTTGATTGTAATTTGATTAAATATATCAAGCATCAAATTATCAAACGATTAGAATAATAAGAACTAATTTATTACGATCAGCTTCAAACCTTATCATTCGTATTCCTTGCTTTCGGTGATATTAATGAGCAAATCTCGTCAATCGACATTTCCTCCTAATTCTCCGGAAGGGCTAATATATGCAAATGTATCGATTCTTGTTCCTACGAATGTGTATTATCATAGCCGATACGTTTTTTTTTATCTTCGATGCTACGCCAATCAAAGAATTTTGTTCAAGTGATGTTTCACGAGTCACGTGGAATACCGTCAAAAAAAAATAAGAAATCTTAAGGCAAGAAAGTAACATTAGTGAATTTCCTGTGTTAATCGTATTCTCCTCTCGGAGGACATTGTCAAATTCCATTTGATTTAAAAAAAAAAACATGAAAACTGAGACTTATTTATTGTCGATTCAATTTTGTCAAAATCATAAACAGAATTTTAGTTCTAATTTAATAAATAATCACTTATTAAACGTTTTACTCGTTATTTCTTTTTGACAATGATTGAACAATTATAAAACCTGCTGCTGCAATTGTAGCAAGACCAGTTAAACTACCATATAACCATCCGCTAGACTCTTGTTCTAAATTAAAAAAAAAAATTTTTTTTTTTTTTTTTTTTTTTTTTTAATAATTATGAAGATAATATATGAAAGACATAAAGTAAACGAATTACCTTGTGTAATTAGAGTTGTTTTTGATTTTGAGCGAGTTTGATGAATTTCTGGAAGAATTTGTGCAATGATTTTATCGTTTTCAATAAACTCGAGCGTAGAATTTACTAGCGAATCTTCGTCGGGGTTATTTATAAACGTTGCTCCCATGATCGCAATGTATTTTCCTTTGAATTTCTTTTCGGCCAAATCTTTAAACTTTCTAACCTCCTTTTCAATAGATTTCTTCGCAGCAGGTCCCGAATTTACATCCAACCATTTAACTCCAACAACGACAAAAATACCAACATCTGAAGCAAAGATGAGATCACCCTCATGATAATTATTACCATCATCAATTGCAAGCCAAGAATATTCAAATAAATATTCAAGTCCGGGAAGATATTTTTCTAGATTTTCTAAAAGGTATTTCTTTAACTCACCCTCCTTCACATGTTTATCAGTGTAAGCTTTCCAACCCAACCTCTTTTGTTCATCTTTTAAATGAATATAATTAACGAAAGGGTCATACCATTTCATTGAAATTTCCAAAAGACATTTAACCAAAGGATTAACATTAGATTTAATCCATTTGAACTCAATCTTCCAAATACCGATTAAGAGCTTTTTTATCTCATAATTTAGTATTTTATCGTTATCCCTAAGTTGACTGAATTCCTCATTAATACAATTTTCCACCTCGGTAACGTTGTTAATTTGTTTATGTTCCATTTCTTTTCCATTATAAGAAATTTCTGTCGATGTATGCTTATGCTGAATAGCTTCAAAAATCCTTTTACAAATTTGTAAGATGAGATTTTGTTTATCCTCATTGTTTGATGGGAAAGGTTTTTGTAACGAATGACCAGGAACGTTACAACTATAACAATGACAGGTTTGACTCATGTCGATGAATGAAGTGAAAAAGGTTCAGGATTGGAAGGTTTACATTTTTATAAAACTTGAATGGTGTAACCGAATCAAGAAACAAAATCATACTTGATACATGAACCAAACCCAATTTGTAAATTTGTAAAATCATTTAATTTGCCTTTAGATGGCAAGTTTTCCAAAAAATCATCTGATTTGCCGGGTACATTGCATTGTTGCACATTTATTAATTTATTAAAGGGACAAGCCCGGCAGTGCGTTTTTTTTCGCATCACGTGAAAAAAACAACGAAATATAAAACTAATTGGTCGGTCACAAAATGCAACAAAACTTAGCTTAATTTCAAGAGTGTAAGACACCTATGCATGCGATAATTTATCTCCTCCACTTCGAGGACAGCAAAAAGTACCGCCTATCATTTTCTTGCAAATATGAGCGCTTGTCTATAACAATGGAAAAGGGTTAAAATTTTTTTGGCTCTGAAAAATTTACGTAAAGAAATCGTATGAAAAAAACCGTCCATTTTATTCATAAACTCTGGAATTAAATTTTAGAACTTTCAAGTTTCAAGAGTTTAACCGTAAATGATATCAATTACCGAAATTCTCATGAAATCTCATGGGGCAAATATTCCTTATGCATACATGTACATACCGATTAAAATTAATTTCGTGTGTGAGGACGATAATTATTAAAATTTTACTTTGATTTTAAAGAGTTACAATTTCTTGGAACAACACTTGGAAATAGGACGATATTTCTTGCATTGAAATTGTTTGATTTTTTTGTTATTAAAATATAAGTATAACACATAAAGAAATCTACCCACGACGCAGAATAAGGATATAGGTATTGTACCAAAGTAAAAACCACGAAAAAATTGTTTTACAAGATATGAAATTCTCTGACGAAAATTTTACGTTTAATAAAAAAAAAAAATAAAATAAATAAACGTTATCAGTGAGAGCTTTAATTTCATATCAAAGAAGTCAAATTTGTCGAGTTGTTGTGGACTCACTAAAATTTTAACGCATTTTTTTTTTTTGTTTATTGCTCAAATTTTATTAGCAATAATAGAGATTATCCACTTACTCCTTACAAACTTTTCACTTCGTAAAAAGGAAACTGAAATGTATTTCATCAAATCATATTAAATTAAATAAATGATTAAACCACGCGAGAGTAAATAATGATAATAATTTTTTATTTTTTAATTATTAGTATATACCTTTCAACCGGATGGTTCTGATTCTAATTTCCATGTTTCCTTTCTAAACTTAAACATTTCCTTGGACTCTACGGAATTAAAGTCAGATTGGCGTACCACTTGTCAAATGCATCAGATCGAGGCTTATTATTATTAGATATTTCTAGTAAAGTACCACGACAAAAACAGATACAAATCTAGTGTTACAGGAGGAACCACTTTCTTAAATCCGAAACATTTAGTCTATTGAACTTTCAGTTTCGCCTGAATAATTAACAACAACAACTGATGAGGATTTCGCTAATAATGCAACCGGGAAGTTAGATTACTTAGGACGATTTAAACAAATTTCTCAAGGATTATAGACGTAATTTCATTGGAACCTGCACCTTATTGAAAAGCACTTATTTAAACGCTGAAGAAAACAGATGATAAGTTGAAAGAATATTCTCAAGTTACCTTAAAGAATCATAGATCATAAAAATATTTTATAAAGAAATCTTACACCGGAAAAAATTGCGTTTTTATAATTAGGTTCCGCGATGAAAGATTTCATCAATGTCTTTTTCAATAATTGGGATTATTAAGTTTTTACGTTTATCAGATGCAGTTTCTTAACTCAACCACGAAAACTAAGTATTGCATTTATCAAGTTATATCATAATTATTTACGTGGAATGCATTCCAATGATTTTTGGATGAATTCTTGATTCATTATAAAACAGTTGTAACGTTCAATGGAGTTTAGTATATTAAGACGCATGGGAAAAGAATATAGCAGTAGAAACTTTAGTTGTGATTTTGGAAATTGTATTTATACGCGCACGTGACGAAATTTTAATATTTTGAACACAGCAATACAAACAAAATAATTGAAGGATTATCAAAGGTGGAAGAAAAACGTTAGATGATCTTAGAACTCGATCGACAAAATATACAAAAACATGTCATGGATAATTTGGAACTTTAAATCTAATCATGGAATTTTCCCCCTTTTGATATATTGAAAAATCTTATCATTAGGCGCCAAGTTTTACATCAAAAAATGCTTTCTACGATTAGTAAGCATGATTTGAATCAAGTAATCTTTATATAAAAATTCAACTTTGGAAGTTATATTTAATAACAAACTGCAAATTTAGTTTAAAGAAACATTATTACTAGTCGTCGTCACCAACTCCACCAACTCCATCAAATCTTTCACCTTCAAACTACATCTTTTGAAGTACTCTGGTAATTTCGACTTACTAGAATGCATAAACTACGACTGATTCTGTCACATCCAATATGCTGTACGCAAAATTTATTGTGATCACCTTGATAAAAAATATGAGCAATGAAATAGAAATACGCAAAAACAAAAATTGTTCAGAATAAGAAATTTCATATTCCAAAAGATAGAAGAAAACACTGTTCAAAACCTATGAAACGACAAAAGAAGAGCTGAAAAGGATTTGAAAAAAAAAAGTTATAAAAACTGTTTGGAATGAGTGAAAATTTTTAAAGTTTTTAGTTTAGAATGAAATAAATTCGAGGATCTCCGGGTGTTACATGAAACCATTGTTTTAATAAGCTTTATCTTCCACTTTTCTCTGACCAAATGTTACTTGCCCTTAATCATTTATGAGCGTCGCATAATTTTAACAGGATTACGACATTAAAATTTTCTTGGCCTCTTTCATATAAGTTATTTCATATTTCATTAAAATTATGATTGATTCGAATTTAAACAGAAAGGTCAAAATTTCAAAATTTCAAACAAATATCGGTTATATAGGAATCCTTTGATATTACCAATTATAAATCACAAAAAATCACGCAATTTATTTTTTTTTTTTTGGAAGCTTAATTATTTAAAATGAGATTTATACCTATCAAGCGTGTATATGGTTGGATATGGTAATTAATGATAATAGGTGGAAATTGATATATATTGTGAAACTATTGTTTAATGCTCTCTTTCGATTACCAATCAGAAATCACGAAAAATCACAAGGAGGACCATCCAAAAGTTAAAATTAAAATTCTGGGTATTTCACCATTAATTTATTAATTTAAATTAAGGTTTCTACCTTTCAAACGTGTCGTCGGTTCGTTAACATACATAGTAATTAATGGTAAAGGCGGTTTAGAAACGGAGTCCTGTATTTTGAAACGAAACGTCTTTAAGATTCGCAAAATTTGTTCAAGGAAATATTAAGAATTTTAAGACTGCCATTCACAATTTATTAAAAGTAGTTTAAAAAAATAGATAAATAATTTAGAAACCAGGATTGATCAGAATATTTTCTTCGGACATCGCCTTAGCCAATTATGCAAGAAAAATTTCCCATTCGGAATATTATCCTTAGATGGAAATTAATTTAAAGTACATGATTGGATTCAGGCACCGGGGACATAAACAAATGCCCGGGGTCGTGGTACGATATGCGCACAAGGACCAAGAATTCATAAAAACCATGTCTCTGAAAAAACAGATAGCTATTTTGGGAATCTAAACGAGAGAGATATATATATAAAAAAACTCGTAATTTTGTGCACGAACATCTTTTAAAATGGAATTTATTAAAGATTAATGCGTTCGAGGTTTATAAATAGGCTTAACGGTAATTAATATATTTAATATTAAAATGTAATACCTACGCTTACGATCTATCATTATAATTAATATACCATCTAAGCTTAAACAATATTTTACACGAAAGAATAATGCCATTCCTTGTGAAAGATGACGAATAGATACATAATAACCTGATCTCTTCGAGTTAGCAAGAAAAAAAAAAAAAAAAAATTATTATGGATCGATCGCGATGAACATTCCCTAAATTAGATCACATGTGCGGGTTATTGGCGTTATTATCTACTTTGAAAAGATTTATAGATCTAAAGATTTTATTATGTTATACAAATGTGGATTTCAAGGAATGATAACATGTTAGTGACTCATGATTTCACAAATGAATTTGGTTCCGTAATAGATGGGATTGTACGCCATTAACTTTAAAATAAAACAAGTTGGATTCTGATCTTTTCTTTAAAAAATAGTCGGACATTTCTTTAAATTAAATCATAAGCTCAAATTATATAAGTCATTATGTCAGCACTTGATGGGGAAAAAAAAAATATGCAACGCCGTATAAAAAGTTAATCAATAAAGTCAAGTGAATGAATATCAAGGAAATTTATGGACTAATAGGGATTCCATTTCATTACTTTCTTCGATTCTTTAGTAAGTGTGCTAATTCGCGTGATTCGTATATGAATAATTGGTTACTCCGATAATTTAATATAAAGTTCATAAAAAATCAAGAAATAAAGGCAATTTGTAACACTTGATCAAATGACCCGAACGTTATATTTATTTGCGTACATGCATTAAAGGGTGACACCCGAGTCTTTATTGATTAAAGCAAGAATATATTGACTTCTTTTTATGGGTAGGGACGTGTTGAATGGAATTAAGATTGACCGGCTTTCGCGACTTGGATAAATGTTGTATTCAAAACGCACTTTTTTTTTTTTTTTTTTTTTTTTTTTTTCTTGAATATCTGGAAGGAAATGAGAAGGCTCATGTTAGATTATCATATTACCATTCATCTCATCAATTGAAACTTATCGTTACCATTACCTTTATCACCCGAATGTGGTTTTTTAATCTGTTAAGATTATTTCTATTTCAATTACCGTGTTGCAATGATATCACGGCTATTATGACTAAATTAACTTGCTCGGCTTAACCAAATATTGAAAATAATCTTTACAAAATTTGCAGAAAATGGGGTGAAGTTCTAAAGGGTTCATAAATGTCCTTCTTCCGAGTTTTTTTTTTTTCATTTTCCCACGTTTTGCCGAAATCTCATGATTTTTTTTTACACGGACATTTGATTGTCGCGACTTAATCTTATATGAAGTGCGCTTATTTTGGAAATTTAGAGACTAGTTTCAAAACTGGTTTGGATTCGATCAAAGTCGCACCAAAGAGATTATATAATTAAAAAAAAAAATACAAAAAAATAAATATTTATTCAACAAATCGATTTTCTACCAACCAAAATTTTTAATCCATGAATTTACAATTGTTTAAATGAAATAACGTTTGGTGTTAGTTGTTTATGTCATGAGCATTTCTATAATTCGAATTGTGACGCGAATTAAATGAAACGTATAACTTAATACTTTTGTAGTTAATATTGTTCTCTTGAAAAATTTCGTGATAACACGATAAGTTGCAGGACCATTAATTAATAATATATTTTGTGAGTAGTCTGGATGATTCCATCAAACCCCCCTGTTACTTTTCTTTCCAACTTGTTAAACAATTATGGTTATATTGATTACAATAGGAACTTTTTAATTTAACCAAATTTATAATCTATTTTTCACATCGTGAAATAAAAAAAAATATCGGTAAATACTGAAACGATAAAAGCTATGCAGAATTAAGTTTGGTGGCTTGACCAATTCCGAAAATTAAACGGGATCCTTGTCCTTGTCAACAGGACCCATATGAAATTCCTATATTTACTTTCGGCGTTTAAAATCTATATATATATTTATTTATTTACGAATTTTAAAAGAAGTTTCGGGAATTCGAATTTAAGACCAAGTGATTGTATCGATTATAAATTATTACGTTATCGTGAGTTATCGTGACCTGCCTTTAATGGGTTATTCCGTCGTCTCTCTGCGAAATGACCGGAAAATCATTTTATTTTGTAATTTTTTTTTTTTTAAAAAATAAATAAAATAATATGTAAGCAAATAGAATTCAAAAAAAATAAAAATAAAAAAAATAAATACACAGTTCATTTCCAAAGATGAAAATTGTAGTGCACGGGCTTCTAAATGAGAAACTGATTAATCTATAAAGAGAATAAGTAGGTTTATTTTTGAGATTAAAATTAAAATCGATTGTAGATCAATTTTTTGATATTAAATAACGAGCTCTTTTTCTTGCTCTTTTTTTTTTTCTTCTCTTCATCATAGACCTTTATTATTTAATTATCTTCCAACTTATTTTCACAATCCTTCATTTTTTTTTTAATTCCTTTCGATTATTTCGATAATCTACACATTTATTTTCCGATAATTGTTCACCTCTCCCTTTTACCTTTATTTCCGTTTCCTTTATTTTATTTATTTTTTTTTGTATTTTAAATAATATGAAAAATGTTAATGTCATCAAAGAATTTGATTCTTCAGATCCACTTAAATTAGATAATACCAAAAGCATCTTGGATTCGTTTCGTTATGTTAAAGGAAGAAGATATCATAATCAAACAGATGTAACTTATTTACTCCCAAATGACGAGAAAGAAGGTATACTAATAAATTTATTCGAGGCAATGACAATACGTAGACATGATGTTAATTTGTTAATTTCTTATTTACTTTATTTTATATTATTTATTTATTTATTTATTTTTCGGTTACAGCTGAAAGATTGAATTTGCAGCATAACATTTTAAAGTTTGTCTGGAAACGTATCTTTTCATCCCCAGTGCACGATTTACTAAAATCTGGAGGGGCGAAAGTCTTGGATGTAGGATGCGGAACCGGGCGGTGGTTATTAGACATGGCCAATGAATATCCAAATTCCTCGTTCATTGGCATAGATATGTCCCCCATATTTCCTGATGTCAACCATATCCCACAAAATGTTGCTTTCCTACAGCATAATTTAAACGACGGCCTTCCATTCCCAATTGAGACTTTTGATTTCGTGTTTCAAGGATTTTTAGGAAATAATGTGATAAATAAACAATGGGAATACTACACCCGAGAAATGATACGCGTGACTAAACTTGGTAAGGGGCTTTTTGATCCATTTTTTTAATTTTAATCGTGTGATCAAAGATTTAATTTAAAGTTCAAATAGGTGGATGGGTGGAGATTTTTGATTATGTTGTTGATTATCAAAACTCGGGTCCAAAGTTCGCGAAAATAATGGAATTAGGTAAACTTTTCTATAAAATAAAAATAAAAATTAAAATTAAAAAATTAAAAAAAAAAAAAAAAAAAAAAAAAAAAAACCTGACATTTGACAATAAAATATGCAAAACAAGACACAATTTAAGTTGTGTTACATTGAATTTTTTTTTTTTTTTTTTTTTTGTTAATTCCCGTCTCGTACGAAATAATTAAGTTATTTATTTTATACATATCATCTTATTTTAGCAAATTCCGGACTCGAAGCTAAAGGAATCAACCCTCATCCCGAAACCTACGTTCCACAACTTTTAAAAAATTGTCAAGAGTTATCAGAAGTTCACTTTGAAGAAGAAAATATTCCATTAGGAAATTGGGCGGGCCAATTGGGCGAAATGGTGTGTAATGATTTACGTTCGTTTTACTTTACGGTTTAGTAAAAAAAAAAAAAAATTAAAAATTCGCTTTACTATCTGCCTGTTTAGATGGTTGCATATTATTTTATGTCTTTCAACGCCTTTAAATTATTATTCACTTCAGCTTGGGGAGTTTCTGATGAGACTTACGACACCATCTACGATTATATTCGACCAGAGTTTGAAGATTTCAAGGTCTACTTTAAATCATTTCGATGGTACTCGAAAAAGATTTAAAGAAAAAAAAAAAAAATCCTTTTTTTATTTAATATTCAAATTTATTTATTTATTTTATTTTATTTCATTTTTTTTTATACTACGCAAAAAAAAAAAAATATTTTAATTCGCAATAACGAAAATATCTTAATTTTTCAAAAAAAAATCGAAACTTATTTTGGGTTATTATAAAGACACACACATATGATAATTAATTTGTCTTTGTTACTACGAGGACATTCAACATTAAGCTAATGCAAGTACATACTCGCTAATCGATTTATTGTATAATTTAATTACAATAAGATTTAATTTTTTTTTTTTATTTCGTTTTCCTTTTTCTTCTCTCAGAAGATTCGATTATAGTTAATAATTTTTTTTTCGATATAATTCTTTTCTCTAATCTCATTTCGTATTTAATTTTCGGAATCAATAAAGATGTTTATGAAATTTGGAATATCATTACCATTATGATAATTTCAATGTAATCGGTTTTGTTATTGTTAAGGATCTAGATTGATCTATTTCGTGGCTTAGCTCCTTCGTTATTTGTTTTTAGTAGATCGAACCGTCGATCATGTGAAAACTCAATAGTTTTGACTATCACAGATTATATTAAAGTTTTATTTTCCTGTGAATCTCAAACATGAAATACATGAAATCCATTATATTTATTGCATATCCCCAGCGTAATATAAACAAAGCGTTTTAGAGAAGATACTTCCCGTAACTGTGTATCATTTAAGAGATTCTTTTGAAAAAAAGGAAGGTTTATGAAAAAAAAAAGGGGGGGAACATCGTTTTCATTCGAATTTAAAAACGCAATTTTGGCTATTAAAACGGTTTAATTTTTTTATGGTAATCGGTGATACGTTTGGTTTAATTTTACTTGATTCGCATTGTTTGTAAAACTTTAATAAAAAACGCCAAATTTTTTTTCAATGATTTTTTTTTTTCATGCATTTGATTTGGTAAATTTAGAACGAGAAAGGAAGAATTGACAACAAAAACACTATATTTATTAAAAAAAATTATAAGGAATGTTTATTTTGCTGATGTAAATAATAGAAGCATAACATTCTGAATTACACTCATCCCCACGAATGATTGGTATGTTCTTCGTGATGCATCACAAAATATTCAAGTCACTTGACGCCTAATATTTAAATGTTTATGTCACCCTAATCAACTTGGAGAGATTGGTTTCCCAATTGCTTTCATAATAAAAATAACGTTAAAGAGATATCAAATGGTGATTTGAGTCAATCAAACAAACAAGGATCTAACCATAATTGGAGATTTTCTTTGTAAAACAATTGAATTATATAATATAATTTAATGGAATCTTAGAATTCTCAATTTATGACGTTCGCAATTCTTATAGGACAATAAATTTTCCGACAAATAATCATTTATATATTTATCTTCTTTGAAAAAAAAAAAAAATTACAAATAATTTTACGCCGACGAAACATTTAATTTCTCGACAATTTATTCACTTTCCCGATCAAGAGAACAAATCTGTTATTTTTTTTTTTTTTTTTTGTTGTTTTTCAATTAAGGCGCATTAATTATCGCACATGAGCTTTAACCTGCTTTGTCATTTAAATGGTAAGAATATTTGTTTTGCAAACAAACTTTCCAGATTTTTCCCTCCCATCTTTTTGTAACCAATAATCATTCGTGCTCCCACAAGAAGGATCTTCGGAAATCTATATAAGATGTGTGACATTATCAACTTGGCATTCCAACCTTTCTAATTAATACAACTTTATTATTTTGGTTAACGTGACTTACTTTCAAACATTTAATAAATAAAATCATCTCGATTATACTCAAATCAATACTTCTTATTTTCCTTTCGAAAATCAACTTGATTTGGAAATTTGAAAGTCGGGTGATAATGGCACAGCAATCCAATATGAGAGAATAAACAAATAGTAAAATAAATTATTATGATGTAGGTAAAAGGCAATGATGATCATTTATTTTTTTTTTGATTATTGAATAAGTTTTTGATTCGTTGTGTAAAACTATTCACTTTCAACTTTCTTTTATATGAAACAATACTGCAAAATTACATCAAAACTTTTTTTACTCTCGAGTATTAAGGTTCATTTTTCGTTATTTTTTTTTTTTTTTTTTTATTAACCGATTTCTTTCACTTTCACTTTCTTTTTTTCATGCGTGACGCGAAAAACTCCAAGTTTTCTTTATTTAAAATAAAGCTCTTTAAAAGGAATCATAAGCTTTGATATCGTATTTATAAATATAACTTTCCCTTCCATTGCCTCCCATTTTTTTTTTTTGACATATGGGTTATCACGCAATGGTAAAATATTCAACGTTAGCGGTGGTTTATATCTCATTACAATCGATGAGTCTCTTTTTATTATCATGCCTAATGGTGGTCATTATAAAATCCAAATCCTTCTTTTTAAAATGGACATTGTTGCAATTATGTGTGTCAGCGTTTATGTATGGGTTCACCAGTCTTCCACCGATAATAATTTACGGAAATAATTTAATGGCTCGAGCATTTGAAAATCCTTTATGTATAATAATGCAAAAAGTTTCATTGTATTTCCTATACCCCCTAGAATTTTTTTCTATCGCTTTGGCATTTTATTTATGGCACGCTTTATACACCATGAGGATAGATTTTGAAAATAGGTTTTCTCTACCTATTTCCATTATGATTTGGATTAGTACAACCATTTATAACGGAATGTTATTAAAATCGGCTAGTCATGATAAGAATTGGAATGTTAAACCCACCAGTTTGAGTTGTAAGCTCAGTGATAATCATGATTCCTTCATTGGGTACTACATATCTTCGATCATCCTGGCCTTTTTTACATTATTGATGACATGTGAGCTCATCATTTATTGGTTTCATGTGTTTGATTTTTAAGGATTTGATTTACTAAACTTGTTGCATCCTTCCTTATTCAAGGTCACTCAACCGTAATTTTATGGAGACGTTGGATGAATTGGAGAAATCGCATGAATAGAACAACCGCGATTAGATTGGGAGAGGCCGTACGTTTGTGCGCTTGGTGTTTCATGTTTATAATTTGGCTACTTTTGTTATTCATCCCTCGAATTTTGGTAGGTGATGAATACATGGTTACCAAATTTAAAATCATCAAAATTGCTAGTATAAATTCGGCTTTAATGTGAGTTACCATTTATCGAGAAGAATGTCTTTTATTGATTTTTTGAGTACTAACCTGTTTTTTTTTTTTTTGATTTAGAGGGACATATTTGTTCCTCATATTTGGAACAGAAAGAAAGGCAGCGATCTTCCTTCCATTTTATTACGTTCCACCAGGCACTCCACATATACAAGAAATTCAGATAGACGAATTAAACAAATCCTTTATTTCTCAAGATGATATTAATATCGTTATAAGGGTTAGTTAAAGAAGTAATCAACATCCGAGTTGGATAAACTAAGCAATAAATCATATTAGAATACTAGTACAACCCTAACCTCCGAGAAAATCCATCTCACATAAATCCTTTAATAGAAAAATCATTTTGTACATATATTAAAAAAAAAATTAACCTCTTGCTAACACATTTCATTGTTATCAGGCAAAACAGATAGATATATAAATTTTTTTGTTTTTTTTTTTTTTTACTAGCAAAGTTTACACATATATTGTATATATAAAATCTATAAAATAATTATTATTTAGAAATTTGTATTGACGCTTCAATGCGCATAAATTTCCTTTTGATTGACATGGTCACGTAAAAATTATAGTTACAGTAGTTGCTTTTTGTGGCCCGGTCGATTTATCAGTAGTTACTTTTTTGTGGCCCGTTCGACTTTGATTTATTATTAACATTTTAAGTTAGTATCGGCACATTCCGTCAAATGAACAACATTAATAAGAATAGCCGATCATGATACAGATATCCTTTGTAAAGTCATAATCAATGAATCTTTACTCGAAAAAAAAAAAAAAAAAGAATGTTTGACTTTAAGGTTTAAAATTGATTGATATACAATAATAATTTTCACATCTATCGTTTTGGTTATTTTTCTAGTATTTTTTTTTTTTTTTTTAAATTAATAAGGGATAAAGTTTTAGATATCTTAAACATTGAAAGTATTTTCCTTTTCGCCATCTTGCAATAATTCGTTTCCTGTTTTGTCTGGAGGAACATAATAAAAAAATGGAAGAAATAATGCTGCTTTTCTGTTTGTTCCGAAGATTAAAAATGTCACTATCCCACTTGTGGAGGAAGAACAAAAAAAAAAAGTTATCTTAATAAATATTTTTTTTTTTAAAAAAAATAAATAAAAAACAAAATCGTGTAGCTATACTTACATGCTTGCTGAAGCAAAAGAGCTTACTGTTGTCAATAAAGAATTCGAATGAAAGATTCGTGGGATAATGTAGAGTAAAGAAAGTATTATGATGGTTATACACATAATGTAAATACGAACTGCATGTCCTAATTTAATCGCTGTTGTTCTATTCATGTTATGATTGAAATTTTTCCAACGCTCATACAAGATAATCGATGAATGACCTAAAATATTCGAGATAAAATAAAAATGTTAAAAAAATTTCATCTTATGAAAAAGTTGAAAAATCGATTTAGATGATTTCTTACATATCATGATTATCGTGATAAAAACTAGAATGGATGCTGGTATTAAAAATCCAAAAACGTTCTGCATACTAAATGTTTTTTTGCAATTCAACAACGAAGTTCTGACACCCCAATTTTCTTTTTGACTTGAACGAGCCATTTCAAATATGTTATATATAATGGTAAACCCCCAAATCGCTCCAGAAAAATAAATCAAGGTTCTCTTTTCGATGTCAAGTCTTTTCTTGACTAACGCGTGCCATAAATAAAATGCGATCGTTAACGCAAAGAATTCTAAAGGATATAATGTGAAGTTTGCAAGTTTGCTTGATATAATGCAAACTGAAGATTCGAATGCTCGATCACTCAAATCATCCCCATACATAATTATCGGTGGTAAAGCAGACAACCCATTTCCGAATGCTGAAAGAAGCATTTGAAACATGGTCCATTTGGTAAAATGTGCTTTTGTCGTCAATATTGAAAAAATTAAGTATAATAACAATAAGAGGCTTATTGATTGTAATATAATATAAAAGATTGTGGTTACTGAATATGTTGGCATTTTGATTGTGATGGATATCTACTTAATTAAAGAGTGTGGTAGAGCGGACATTAATGAATCGATAAAAATGATTCAAATATGTTTAATATTTATAATAATATATTATCTGATCTTATTTGCACAATTATTCAGAAAGAACCGCTTTTTTTTACTTACTACTCAAAGATTCTTCCGAGATTGATTACATCACTTTACCAATTTCGGAAAAGCCGAAACTACCCGCACCTATCGCATGGTTTTTTTAATTTAGTTTGTACTACTCGTCGAAGTTGATGAGATTACTTGATCTTTATTTTTTTTTTTTTAATTAAAAAAAGTAATTATCATTTACCAAGAATGGAAATTATATTTTTAAAAAAAAGGACTACGCTCTTTATTTAGGTCTCACCTCTGGTTTGTAATCGCAATTATTTTTTTTTTCCACATCTGTTCACATCTTATACTTACAATAACGTACCATATATCGTAAAGTTTCAAATTTCTTGAAATACTCTTTTTGTTTAGGATGAGATTACATATTTGATTATGATTGGTTGATTTGATTTAAACTGGCACATTTTAAGGTGCATACTCGGATCTAAGTTTGTAAAACATTTCTCTTGGCAAGGTAAATACGCAATAACTTAAATTCCGTAATTGTAACAGGTTTATTGATTATCATGTGATTTAACCCTTACTCAGAACATCCGAAACATTATTGTGTAATGTGGACTGGTTAAAAAATATTCTCATTAGTTTGTATTTTCAAACATTTGAAATCTGACAAAAATATTTTAATAAACTTGAGTGGATAGTTTTCTACGGGTAGCTCTATAAAAAGAAGTATTAAGTGTTTAAAGGTTTAAATTTAATCTCGAAACATGTGTATCCTATGAAATCAAATGCTAAATACGATAATTCATTTGTTTGTAAAAAGTATGGCTAATATTCCTCTAAATAATTAAATAATTAGTTCGATATACATTTAATAAATATTGGCATGTTACAGTACAATGGAAATCACAAATAAATTTTATTGTCAAATGTCGGTCGGTCGGTTAATAAAAAAGATAAAAAAGGCAACGTTTCAGCACCATCCCCCAAGATTGGTTAATTTCTACTATGTTTGAAACTAATGTTAAAAGTTCTTTAAAGCAAAATTATTATACCACGCGATAGGTTTTGGAATTTTGTTTAATTTTTAGTCAGAAAAAAAAAGGATCTTCATTAAGCAATTTAAGCATGGTTCAAATTGATCATCATTAATTTATACATCTAAAGCAACATAATATGTTTAACACTTCGGTTAGACTAAATAGTTATTTAATTAATAATTATACATATCGTAAATTATTAAAATATTTATATAATCAGTACAATCCATATTTGTAAAATAGTTTAATTATATACTATATATAAAAATAATACATTCATTATAAATTATAATAAATATAATAAAATATAATGATAACAAATAATTATATAAATAGTATAATAAATATTAATAAATATTTCAAAGTAAAAAATAGAATTTACTTTATATATTAATATGAAAAATTAAAATTTAATATTAAAAAATTTTTTTTTTTATAATTTTCATCATTTTTATTACAAATCATCTATAAATAAATAAAATATAAAATTAATAAAATAGTAAATATTTTATTAAATCTAAAATAAATTTAAATTATTTTTAATAAAGAAATAAACTTTTAATTAATATCACATTATCCCTTTAATTGTTTTACCTACAAATTTGCCAGCAATTTTATTTATTAATTATTAAAGCTTTGAACAATTCAGATTAATTCAAAAATTTCAGTTTAGATCAACTTCAGTTGTTTCAGATTGCAAAAAAATAATCTGAAAATTTTTGGTTCAATTCAGAATTTTTCTTATTATAAATTTAATCTGAACTAAAAAATCTGAACTAAACTGAAATTTTGAATTATTCCAAAATTTCAGATGATTTATTCCAAATGAGCAATTTTCTTATTATTCTTTTAAAATAATAAATTTAATCCTTTCATCATTCATTTAGAATGATAATTTAATTATTTTAAATAAATAATTCTATTATCATTTATTTATAATAATAATTTAATCATTCTAATTAAAAGATTTTCTTATCATTCGTTTAGAATGATTAAACTATTATTCATTTAGAATGATTAAATTATCATTCTAATTGAATGATTTTCTTATCATTTGTTTAAAATGATAATTTCAAATATTTAAAATGAATGATTTTCTTATTGTTTTTAAAATGATAATTTTCTTATTGTTCATTTAAATGATAAATTTAATCATTCTAAATGAATAATTCTTTATCGTTTATTTTAAATGATAATTTAATCATTCTAATTAAACTATTTTCTTATTGTTCATTTAAAATGATAATTTAATCATTCTAAATGAACGATTTTATTATTATTCTTTTAGAATGATAATTTCAATTATTGCAAATAAATAATTTTTTTATAGTTTATTTGAAATAGTAAATTTAATCATTCTAAATAAATAAAAATTATCATTAAACAATAAAAATTATACTGTAGAAAGCTATGGAATGTGAAATTGTTAAATATTTGGACTATTTTTTTTAAATAAAATATTCATATTGATTATTTTTTATTTGATATTGCAATTAATTTTAGCTAGCTTTACTACTTATTTTGACTTATCAAATTTTGTTATATAATTTTATTACTTAGCTTTATAAGTCAATTTTACAATTTAGCTTTACTAGTTTTGTCACTTAACTTTTTATTACTTGAATCTATTAAATTTTATCATATAAATTTGCTACTTAGCTTTAATATCTTAGCCACTTAACTTTATGAATTAATTTGCAATATAATTTTATTTACTTAGCTACTTAGCTTTTTACTACTTGACTCTATCAAATTTTATCATATAATTTACTAATTAGCTTTAATAATTTTATCACTTAACTTAAATTTATTAAAAATATCATTTATCTTTATTTCTACTTGATCTTTTACTATTTAACTTTATTATACTTAACTATTTAACTTATAACTTAATTAATTATTTGGCTTTATTAGTTTTTATTACTTGCTTTGTTACTTTATTAGCTTATCACAACATTATAAATATCATAAAAAATTATCTAATACTTTAATTTATCTTTTAATTTTTTTATAATTTTATTATTAAAAAAATTTTAATAAAATGAAAATGAATCATATTATGATAATGATGAAGAATTTTTAAATAAAAAATCCATTTAAAATATAGAGAATCCTAATTAAAATATCTAAAATAAGAGATCTAATTATAAAAATAAAAAATATAGAGATCTATAATTTACAGTAATTATACTTTAAATAAAGAAAGCAACAAATATCACTATAATTATTGCAGATAAAATTTAAATTTTTAGTAATAAATATAATTAAAATATTATAAAAATTAATTTAATTTTTTTTAAATATAATTTATAAAATTCCTAAAGATGAATTAACTTCAACATTAAAAATTTATCTTAAAAGAAACATTCACATTTATTTTTAAAAGTTAAAAGGCTAATGGTTAAATATGTTAATAAAAAAGATTTCTTAATATGTATATTTATTTTTATTAATTTAATTATATTAATTATAAATAATAAAATTTAATAATTTAATAATTTATAATAATAGATATTTATATAAAAAGATTAGTTTTAACTAAATGAATAATTATAGATGATTAATCTTTTATTATTGTTAAAAATACATTTTTTCAAACAATGATTAAAAGACTTAATTTTGAAACTAAAATATATTATGCTAATATTATGTATAATAATATTATAAAAGCATATAATGATAAAAAAATTAATATTAAAAAATAATTATAAGAAGTATCAGGTAAAATTATTTATTCTTGACTATTAGACTTCTAAAAATCAAATTTCATTTCTTGAAATTATAGCATATTGGATTATAAAAGATTAGAAATTTAAAAAAATCCTTCTTAATTTTTATCATTTTGAAGAATTTCATTCTGGTAAAAATATTTCATATATATTTTATAAAATCTTAAAAAAATATGAAATATTACAAAAGTTAAATTTTTAATTTATTTATATTAATAAAAAAATAAGTATATTTTACCAAAAGCTATACGATAACGTCTGAAAATACCGTTGCAACTTAATAAATGCCAAAGAGTGTTCAATGGGCATCACTAAACAAAACAAGCATAAATGAAGTGCCAGTTTACCCCTGTCTCACAGACAGACATCAAGCCCTCTTTTAACTGAAAAACTTGAATACACCTTACAAACAAATTTGGCTACACGTTCTCAGATTTTTAGATAGACACTGACATTTTCTTTATCTTTCCTTGCTAATATTAATTTTCATTAAGTATATATTTAGTGGAATTGATGAAGGGGAAAGATAATGATAGGTCAATTCAAACGGGTTTGTAATATAACTACAGGGGATAGCTAGTACTTAGCATAGATTTATTTTTGATTTACTTTGTATTTCCTTATATATAAATTTAATAAAGTTACTAACAGTGCCATATCGTTAAAAAAAAAAATAAAAAATAAGTATATTTTAATTAACAAATAATATTTTTAATAAACATTAAGTATTACATCTGATAGTACATATAATATGAATACTGTATTCACTTATTTAGAAAGTTATTTTTTGAATGATAATATAACTTTTAATTTTGAAGACTAATATATATGATATTTAACCTATATTATTAATTTAGTTACTCAAGAAGCTCTTTTATATTAAAAGGAGTTGATCAGAAAAAAAAAGAAAATTTATTAGAAATATAAAAAATAGTCAAAATATGAAAGTATTTGAAAAAATAAAATTTTTATTTTTATTTTAATTTATAATAATTATTAATAATATTATTATAATTTTAATTAAGAAAATTAGTAGTTAAAATTCATGCATCATTTCAAAGATATAAAAAACTTAATTGTTAATAGAGCTTTACATAAGTTAAACTACTTGTAAGCCAGCTTATATTGTAACTTAGCT